GACTTTGTCTTCTAGTCTTTCAGTGCAATTACTGGGTATTATATTTATATATGTATATATATATATAGTGATTCTGCTGTTTTACAAGAAAACGAGAAATGTTTTGGACATGTTTGACATAAGGGAGTTATTCATTTTCGTATGTGTATTCATCAAAAATATCGTCTAGGAATTGAGCTGGGGCAGTTAAATCATTATATCTACCCCAACCTAAACACCAAAGCACTGACATGACATTCACTCGACGTAAAATATAAAAAAAAAGAAAATCACTAAAGCATTCAACAAATGAACTTAACAGAACGAAAGGCAATACTGTAGTGACAGCTGTCAATTGTGTCAATATATGCCTTTCATTTAGCAGGTCATGCATGCCATTATTGCCATTCTAAAAATGTTATAAATCGACTATTTTTAATCGACTTGATTCGATTAAATCATTAAAACTAACTATTTATTTATGTTCTAAATAATGAACAATGTAATTATTTTTACTCAACAATATACTATTAATTGACATAGAGCATAGGTTATTAATTACGAATAAACATGTTGGGGGATTTAAAATGCGACAACTGTAAAAATGTCATAATACAAGTGGTACTTGATGAGACCTTGCAAACAATGCATACCCTCTTCAGCTACATAAAACACTTTTTATGTTAATATGTTTTGTTTTGGCAGCACTGAAACTCAATTGATCAATTCCGCTCATAAGGTTTCATCCAGTTGTTTCATCCAGAAATTCTGTCGTCTCTCATTTTCGCTTCGCAGGTATTTTAAAGCAGTTCCTGCATTTCATCTGCTAGTGTATAACAAAAAGCTTTATTCAAAATGTAAACTAAATATAAAAAACTCTGAGGTGTCACATGTGGAACACCCGATTGGAACGGAGTTCACACGCATTCAAGATTATTTAAACGAGACTTGTATATGTAGCATTAGTATTATTGTATGAAAGTAGAGCATAATCTACTGAAGCTCTTCTTATACCCCTTAAATAATAAAAATACAATTATCATATTGCTAATCAGCCACTTCCAAATGAGTTACCCTGGTATAAATATAAATGTATATTCACAAACACATACGTACTCACGCGCACACTCATGCAATACGCACACTCATGCAATACGCACACAAACAGACACACACGCAAACACAAATACATACATACACAAAGCAAAATGTGAACTCTATATTAAAACTACTTTTGTATTCCCTTTTTTAATTATCTTTTTACTAGGCATTGTTTACTTATGCGGGGGAAGCCCTGGTGACCCGTGTAACCGGTTTCTTTTGGAAACCTATAGCAGGCACCAGCTTTTCACACTTGAGTGAATGTTTGTCCTATTCATAGTATATAAAAAACCTACTGTACAACTTTTGGTGAAAAGAAATAAATTATATATTATTATTATTATAATGTCTGTATTGCATCGATACTTACCTAACTTCATTAGCAATATCTTAACGTTCCGATAGATACCCACATTATTTATTATGCGTAACCGAACCGAATGCTATGCTATCCTATCCTATGCTATCCTATCCTATCCTATACTCGGCCTGCCCCCTCTCCAAGCGCTACGCACTATAGCAAAAGTGTCGTGAGGATTATTCGTGGCGCTCGCCTAGCCCCCTTAGCCAGCGTACCGCGCGATAAGGAACTTCGTTCCAAAAACCTTGCGAGGAACTATTGCCTAAAAATCGTGTCATATGACTAGGTCAAAAACAATTTATTATTATTTTGTCATTTTAAATGTTTTTTCGTCTTTCATGTTTCAGGGCTCTTGCCTATTCAAATACAATATCGATTTATATAATTGAAGTAAATTTTGAATACTGGCAACATTAAAAAAAAACCATAATAATGGTGGATATTTTAGAGAAGTAGTAAAATCAGTTACCTTCCTTTATTTTAAACACATTATACTCCGTCGAAATTAGGGCTGCATATTTTAATGTATTTAGGTAAAATTAAAAACTTATTTTTTAAAAGAGGTTTGATATCGTCACAAAGCTGGCGTACCGATGAAACGGGGGGCAGCTGCCTGCCCTGGTGATAATATAGAAAAGTTTTTCTTCTCTAACCTACCGATAATCAAACCCGAGATCTCAGAGATGGCAACACACTGAAACCGACATGCGAATCACTCGGCCTGCGAGGTCTTCGATATGCTATCTTTTGTCTCCTAACCGTCTCGTAAGACAGCTTCATAATATTATCTCGTCCTAGAAACACATTTCAAAATTCTATTTCGGTTATTCAAAATCTATTTTTTTTCACGATTAAATATTTAGTAGGTATCCATTTAAAAAGTATTGCATTCCAAATTGAATACAGCGCGAAATTTCTTCACGAAAATTATACAAACTTCTGTACATTTAGATTTCATGAGGGGCATCGTCATTTTGACTGTGAATGCGCTGTTTGCTCTGCCACTGGACATTTCGGAATTTTGCAATTCTGTTTCTGTTAAAATTCTAGGATTAAGTAAGTATTATAGCTACGCTACGTATGAAAGGCATTTCTATTGCTACGGAAATATTACTTTTGAGAGCAGTATTTATGTTTTTTTAAATCTAATAATATAGGTAAATAATATTTATTTTATCAAAACCTGCACTCATTTTTCTTCAATAATTAGTATTTTTTATTGAAATGGTAATTGGTCCACACCTTTACCTTTGTTATCAAACTCACAAGTAGCAAAATTCAGTACCTTCTATAGAAGATTAAAGAACACGAGTAGGTATTCAGTTTCGGACTGTAATAGTTCCAGGAACTATAAGGAGTATAAATATAACTATTAATGATGTCGACTAAAAATGACAATTAAATAAGAATAAATACACATACAAAAAAGTTTTATTACGAGATTATTCATTCTTTAATTTGGACATACGAGTATTACCTATATCAGTTTTAATTTTCATAAAAATGGCATTTTCTTATTTTAGTAAGCGTTTTATGTAATAGAATTTTGGTAAAGATCATGATTGATAAATTATGTAAAAAATACACATCTTTTCACAGAACAACGAACGAACATTACTTTACTCGATATTTGGCTAGAGCGGCAGACTGCAACGTTAAAATCTGTTAACATGGCATACTTACGTATTTCTATTTGATATTATTCTTTTCATTGTATTTGTTATTATGTATATTGTTATTTTTATTTTCAGGAGAGAAAACGAAGAAAATAATATATACATATACCTATTAGAGAATTACTATGACTATTCATTTTCCTTTTTTTATATACTGTCTTGTTGAACGAGTTATTTTCATTGCTTGATGAAGTCACCTTCGTTCATAACAAGTAAGCACTTTTCAATGTTTATAAGTTAGACAGAAGATCTGCAAGACAATTAACATAACAACAGCAAAGAACTTTATTTTATTAGAACTATATTATTGTTTATTAATAGTAGTATTTTTTATTTTTATTGTTATGAATTATTTATTGTGATGTATTTGTTTGTGTAATTGAGGTCAATAAATGTCTCTTCTTCTTCTTCTTCTTCTTCATTTAACTGTGTAAACACGTGCGGAGTTTAATGACATTATTAAATGCACATTTATATTTAATATAAGGTTCAAAAGGGCAAAAAAAGGGCACTCTTTTCCATAATCATATAGAATTTACCACAGAGTATTTATATATTTTAAATTTGAATATATCTAATTTCATAACATTTATAAAAAGTGTAGTATCATTTAATGTAAAATAAAGATTATAGTAATAATATCTATGTGTTTGCCTATAACACAATAATTATTGATTATGTATAAGTTTGAAGCCCAATAATAATAATAAACCTATTTTATATATCGGCTGTATTAACATAATTCAAATCTAACATAGTTCACTGTATCTGCTGTATTAACATAATTCAAATCTAAACGCCTACCATAAAACTACGCGCAATCAACTGCACAACCAAAACATAATAATGTATATTAATCAGGCGCTCAACGTTAACCTAAGTGCTATATTTCCATTCAATCTCTTTTTTAACGATTCCACAATGAATAAAAATTTCATGTAACCGCCATACCAGTAATGTTTATTTATTTTCGTACGCTGCGTATCTGTAAACGATCGAGATTTATTCATTATGGAATAGGTATACGAACATACATACATACTTCATCGTTGTACAATATGTATTTGGAAACGAGAATGACGTGTCGTTTGCGAGTTGATTCATGTAATGGAAAATGCGAAGAGAAATGACTTTCTATTTTGCTTCGTGCATATTACAATCTGATAAAATGTGGAGTGATATTCAAATATTTGAAAGTATCAGCTTAGGAAAAAAAAAATTTAGATAAAAGTCTCACTCACATGTTTACTCTTCTTTTAAAGTCGTGAAAATAAATCGAAATACATATAAGAACAAAGATTCATCGAAATCTTGGTCCACGTTATGCAAGCAGCTAACAGCAACGAATCTATAATTTTACGAAGCAGGGTAGGCAATAATTGAAATATGCCGACCCCGTTCGCCTATATTTTGATGTAAGTGTGATTAGCGCGTTTCTGACAAGATGTGGTTAGCACGTTCGTTCTGCAATGCGAAAACTTAGCAATTTCGCAAGGGCTAGTCATAGAATAGGTTGGCAAAAATTCTGGGCCTCCTTTATGCATCGGAAATCACATTAAGTCGTTGGTCTCGGCGTTTGCAGTCATTAATACCAATCCGCATTATCTATTCGATTTGATTCCATCCCATCCAAAGGAAAGGCGAACAGCGGGGATATTAATAGTCTGGTTATGATGATGAACAAAATTTTACTGTATAAGTATATCCGCAAATAACTACCATGGTAGTTAAACGCTACCACGGAAAAGTTCAGTAGATACATCTTATTATAGTGGAACTTATTACAAAACGCACTCACACGTTTCCTTAAGAAAACCCATACCCGTAAAACTTCTCGCTGAGTTGGCCCAAGTCCAAACTTTCGGCCGTTGGTTTATTTTGAGGTAAAACCTAGTTCCGTCGCCGAACAAACCGGCTTCAGTGTGGTAGAATTTGATCGAATAGATGTATGAAATTATAACTAGAAAACGTGTTTTATTGTATTTGTGTATGGAACATGAATATTGGACATTTAATTTCGTGTGAAGTGTTATTAAACTTTTAGAAACTCTTCTTGGAAGTGTTTATATGATTATAAACATCTACCATTGTAAGATGTAAGTAAAAATTTATGTACAGTATGATATGTAGTTCCTAATCTATGAGTAATTAAATCCGTGGGGGTATATAAACTAATTTGTGTGACCAACAAAGAGCAAATTCAATAGAAGAGCAATAAAATGTCTGGAAAAAATATTTAAGATGTGCTTAAAGCGAAACTAAATCTTATTTCAGAAACCGATGAATGCAAAATAATAATAACAAACACATTACTCAAATTCAATACCTAACGGCAGTTGCTTATAATATTTGTATTTCATGCATTTTAAGCCTGGGTTAAAATCAGTTTTCCTAGTTCATAGGTTAGAAAAATGGGTATAGATAATTTAACTGAGGGTAAACTAATACATTGAAAGAAGACTTTGCGGTGGCTTTAATCGACTATTCAAATACTATGACTTTTAACAGACTTCAAAATCGAAAAAGACGTGGTTGTTATGTTCGAAAGCGATGAATTTTTCTATGTATGTATGTTGACCGATTTTCAAAATTATATGGGCCTGAGGTGGTCCCATTTGCTATTGAAGTCGGATGGTTATCATTTCTTTAATAACCTACAGAAAATATCCGCCCGACGTCATTAGTAGTTTCTTGAATAATCAAGTCACCTTTAAGATACCTGCTATTATACTTAGTATGAAAAGTTTTTGAAATTTTATTGATTTTTTCAGGTGTCGAATGTATATAATTCTGTTTGCGGTAGTAGCGTTAATCGCTTTGTGCGAAACGAAACAATGCGATCAGACCCCACCGCATGCGTCAGTGCAGGAGCCCAGCGAAAACAAAGGGCCATTCAAGATGATCATAGAAACTAAAATGCAAAATTTATCTTACTTACCAGATCAAACATATGTTGGTATGTACTAATCGTACAAATTAACAAGACACCGGAAGGCCTATTCTGTTTCTTCGAAAACGATATCTTAAGAAAAGTAATAAAATATTTATAAAATATAATAAAAAGAAAAGCATTTCTCCATAACGTATGATGCAACGGAAGTAGGACCTGACACTGCCTCTGATGCACAGATAATCTTCACGGATATAACTTTAACAAAATTATAAGAACGATTAGGTGTCCATCAAGTGTCTTGTTTAATCGTACGCGTAAAATTAGAAGTATCACTATCATCATCATCATCAGCCCTTTTACGTCCCCACTGCAGGGACTCAGGCCTTCCTTATGGATGGTAAGGAGGATGGCCTATGACCCTCCACGCTGACCTAATGCGGATAAGAGGGTATTAGCAACTGTGCTTCGGAAGGCACGTGAAGCCGTTGGCCCAGGTTGTATCTTTCACTAATTACGTCCGTTCTCCCTGTTCTATACGATTCCACTAATAGGGAAAATTTGGGACATTAATGGGCTGGGCTCAGACCGCACTACAGATAATCCCAAGTGTGAAACCACAAAAAAATTCGACTAAGACTTTGCGTTTTCAGATATATATATATACTTTTAAATGTGATAGTGCGGTCTCCGCCCTCGTATTAATTATAGAGCAACGCTTGTGGTTTGGGCGTAATAAGTAACACTGACTGCTATTAAAAGCTTTGCCCATAAACATAAGACCTCGCCCGCAGGCCGGATAAATATATACATTGTTTTAATCATACACCTAATATAAATATTGCTTGGAGACAATCCACAATTTTTATATAAGGAACTGCATTTACAGACATTGGAGAAAAAAATATGCCTATTGATCCTATTTTAACTGGAAATAGACTTCACGGGTATGAAATCATAGGAATCGATAAAAACTTGTCCAATACTTTTTGTACGGCGAAATAATAAACCACCTTAAATATTATTTATTACCAAAAGATTCCATTTCAGAATATTATAAAAGTTATATATTTATTTTCATAGTATGGAAATAAGTATTATAATGTTAGCTGACAGGTCTTTAACATATAATTTCTGGGTAAATGCATTTTTATGTGCGTTAAAAATCCACAAAATTTACCCACCTGTAAGTAAATAAATTTAAAAATCATGTTAAGAACCAATGTACTTATAAGTAACAGACTACACAGACTTCTGTTAAAGAGCTGGTATGGTTCTTTCGTTTGTTTTTAACAACCTCAAGACATCCTTAAAGAGTGGTTGGGAAAAAAGTGTAGGATGACACGAAAGTGCTTGTAATAAGCTCTTTTGAATAAAGTATTTATCGTATTAATTTTTCATTGTCGTATAACTATTTTCAGTCACCCTCTTGTCGACCAATTCCACACGCCCGTTCAGATGGTTCATGATCACCGCAGAAGATCCAGACATGGATAACAATACGTACGGGGTCATCAGCCCCCAGGTGGATGTGGGCAGATTGAAGACCTTGGACACGGAAACGGGTAGGAAGTCACGGTACAGCGAGAGATGCTTCAACTCGGTAGAAAATATGGACAATTCTGACAAGTATAGAGTCGATGTAAGAATAGTATTGTCAATTCTTAATTTACAATATTGTATTGAGAAAATAGATTATCAAAACAGTTCATAAAAGGTTTCAAAATTAAGTAAAATATCTATTGCAGAGTTCGTCAATACTAAAAAATAGCGTCGAACTCCCCTAGAACTTAAATATCTCAGAATGTCAAAGAAAATTTTTTTATAATTAATTTTTAATCTGATTTTAATACTAAGTAACTTTTGTGGTGGAAGTAGGTTTTATTAGACTAAACCTCTACGCTATGACAGCACTGAGCTCGACGAATTTGTAACAGCACTGCAGACAACACGAGATGTGTTGTCTGCACATCTCATGCGAATATTGTAGTCGTGTCATGACTACAAATTTTTTTTTCTGTTGTTATTTAGTATTATGATCAGATTAAAAATTAATTATAAAAATTTATTCTTTGACCTTCTAAGATATTTAAGCACTTGGGCATTATAAATTCAATAGGCAGAAAGATCTCTAAAAAGTTTTGATCCATTAATTCCAAGACTCCTGAAGATCTTCCGTATCTGCAGGCCCCCTGAACTTCGAAAAAAAGGCTATTCGAAACATTACTAATAAATACCCCTACTAAAGAAATTGAATTTTGATGTGAAAAACAACTGTTTATTCGGACTTCATATCGGTTGATGAACTCGAGATCAAAAAATTAATAGAAATTCAAACTTGCAGATCCATTGGATATCACCGAAACAAAACGATAAGAAATCTGAGCAAAGAGTTCGCCTTCGTGCCATGGTTGCGGAAAATGAGGAAGTCTGGTACATGGGAGATGAGAATTTAGTGATACTTCTTCATAAAGACAATCGTCCCCCCATCGATAGCCCACCGACGACGCCCGTTGAAGTCTGCAATCTATGCAGTGAAGCTAGATACGAGGTTGCATAAACCAGATTTGCGCCCGTAGCATAGCGAGTCTCTATATTTAATTGTATCGAGAGTGAAATATCGCATGAGCACTCTCAAGAACTCTGCGTTTGCCTATAATAAATCGTTATTTTTAACGATAACACTGCCGATTGTATCACCAGATATTTCTTGGTCATGTAAATTATGGTGTACAATATAAAATTTCATTTCACCATACATTAATTCTTTTGATTGTATAAAAAACGTTTCTTGAGTTCAAAACGTTCGCAATATTACGCACTCTCGATAGAGATGAACAAAATGTAATCCCGATTAACGATTACGTTTAGAAACAATTTTCATCCTGGATTGAAGATTAAATACTATTGGTAATTCATCCTGGATTGAAGATTAAATACTATTGGTAATCATGCTTACAATCATTAATTTGTTGCATATGAGTCTACTAAAAAATGATTATAAGAGGAAGCCATTATGAGCGTCATTAATGTGAATTATATTTTGCTCAACTCTGGTTCTAATGCTTAATTATGTATTGTATTTTTAAATTTTTAAAAGGGATAAAAACAGCCATAGTTGATTTTCTTGCCGGTTCTTCTCAGTACAAGTTCCACATCGTAGACCTACGAGCTGATTGCATACTAAATGCTTGTTAACAGCATCAGCACAGCAGCTGAGACTGAATAAATTATATCGAAGACACTGATGATTTTCCGTCAACATAGTCAACCACCACCTTGATAATATGCTAAAAGAAAATAATTTTAATGAGCGTTAATCTAATTATCAATTATCATTATTGATTAATCAATTTTTATCTACGACTTTCCCTAAACCTATAAAGAAAACATTAATATTGTTCTTCCTAAATTATTTTTCCTAGAGGCATAAAAATTACAATTGTTTGAATGAGCTGAGAGCTTACCAACACAATAGTTTGAAAACACAATAGAAAAGTCGTGTTTGTATTCTATAAAATTAATAGCTAAACAAACGAAAGTTAAACAAACGGAAATGAAATCTACTTTAATTTCTCTTTCGTCCAAATATTTTATGATAGTAAAGTATTGCGATTTTATATGTGTTTCATAAAGAAGATTTCACAAGATTCATTGTAGTTGCGCCCGCCAAAGACCTCAGAGATAAGGACTGAATACCTATAGCGAATTATATAACAAAAACAAGTGTAATTAATGACAAGCTAACTATTTAAATTATAAGTGCTGCATTATAATCATCAATTTTGCATACAAAATCGTTTACAGCATATAATAGAAAAAAAAAATTGTGGTGTTAATTTTGGGTATTAATATGCATGCGCATCGTTTTTCTGTTACTGAGATTACACTTTAGGCATTGTTAGTGCGAATAACGTTCTATTTTTAAATTATTTTATCAGTATACTCAGACTCAATGAGTCACAGAAACGCATAAATAAATCCGTGCGTTTAAAACCGTGATACGGGCAGGTTCTTAAGACAAATCACCATATAATAAAAATTATATGACAAGTAGCAAAACTAAATTAGGGATACCGACAGAATTATTTAATTTATTTGAGCTAAAATAAATTCACTAATACATATTAATGGATTAAGAAATAAAATCAAAATATAAACTGTCCCTAATTATAAGGAAACTACAGCCAAGTGTAGTATTTTATTAAATTTGTGAGTCTTTTTGTGGCCGAGGCATGACATCGAGCGATTTCACTATAAATACTATGGTTCCCGATACAGAGTCATTATTAAATAAAAAAATTGGCGCTATATTTCGAGGAAATCTCCACTGTTTGTTGCCTCGTCTCTATATCATTCCATTACCAGCTTATTTAAGGTGCATTTGTAAATATTTGTTTTTTTTTAACAACAGTGCTTCAATAAGCCAAATGGGTATTTAAACATTTATTTATATAAAAAGCAATGATTCCAGGTGATATTCAGCGGGAAATGGTCAAGGGTCTCCCATCCCCATCAGTATCCCAGCAAGCCTGATGAGAACGGATACACGCATATGCTTGGTGCTTCCCACTCCTCATATTACGTTCTGTGGCAGCAAGGCGAGGAAGCCAGTCCTGGACTGGTCAAATTAGTAGTCAATGCTGATCCAACGTTATTAGAAAGAGAGATCATTGAAAAAGTGAGATGCTTCTTTATTTTTTTCCTGTAATTGTAAGTTTTAAATATTCTTACAGATCAGATGTGGATTTATCAAATATTCATTTTTTTCTTCCTATAATTATATTTTGTCAGAATCTTTAGATGGCAGATTTTTCCACAATGGATTTCATTGCGCACAGATTCTTTTGGACATTTCAGTCTGCATAAACACTTGATAAGCTGTGACAAGATTTATGTAGTTATAAGATAGAATGCTTAATTGAAACTGTTAGGTAAACAGTTGTTGCTGTAATATGGACGTCGCTCTACAATTTCATAAGTATTCAGTTGTGATACAATAATATTTCTTTATTTATTAAAATCACCTCATAAGTGGCTTGTAAAATGATAATTTAAGTTATTGCAACAAAACAGCATCAAAAACTGGAGATATTTTTAATCACAGATACGCTTTTAATCATGTATTAATCGCGTTCTGCATTAGAGATGATGACTGATTTTTGTTTGTGCGTCCATCAGGTATTTTTTTTTGTTGAAACACGTTTCTACATTTTATACATAGTTGAGACGCCTATTTCTATCTATGCCATTTCTTGTTAAATTAAGAAAGCTAAATAGATTTTCTTACGAACTTTCTTAACGATCGTGGTTGTAACTTTATCATGAGTTTGTAACATATCTAAAATAAAATCAGATTTCATTATTGAGTTTTGGTACCACGTTTATTAGTTTTAATATTTCCAGGAAACAGTCCAAGTATTTAACAAACAAATAATACACCTAAAAAAATAAAAGTAACTTTTTCAGATGTCAGAAAAAAATGGAACCCGCACCCTTATAAGAGGGAAGAGACGGCATCATCCGTACATGTTTGAATCATCTCATTCCCTATTCAGAGTTGATAGATTTCACCATCAGTTCTCAATAGTCGTGGGGATGAGGCCCTCTCCTGATTGGTTCTTGGGCACATCTAACTTTGAACTGTGCACTGCTGATGGATGGTATAGCAGTGCCAAGATACCATTGTATCCTTGGGACGCTGGTGTTATGGATGGGGTCTCGTATGAGGTAAAATAATATTCTTTTCATAATACAACACAACAACAAATTTAAAAACCACAGAACGGTTTCTTATCCAGCTTTGATAAGTAGATGGAGTAATCGATGAAAAAGAATTGAATTTTAATTAAGGAAATTAATTATTTCATTAGTACTTTCATATACTTTCGCTAACATATCTTTTCTCAGATTTGTATAATTGCTTGCTTATTTTAGAAGTGGTTTTGTTTCATATTTATTTTCAAATGTTAATTATTTATTTTAATTTCAGTCACCAACAGCAGTAACTACGCCAACAGACCACATAAACAGGGTGGAAGTAGGCTCATTCAACAAGGAGTCTCCATTCTACCAAATGAATCTAAATGATTTGAAACCCTTCGCACACTTGGAGGTTAAATTATTAGATACTTACCAACTGACGGGAGAAGATTGTTCAGAAGAAAACAAAGGTACCTACCACGGAATAGTCACAAATAATTTCATTTACTGAAATTTATTATTTTTTTAAGATTAGACATTGACCCCCATACCTTGCCAATAATCATTAGCTTTTCAAAGTTGTTTCAGCTATTCCTGGCAATATGGCAATAATATGATTGTCAATTATATTATGGTTGGCCAAATTTAGATGGCTATAACACTATTGTTTCATTAGCTTAAGGACTACTTTTCTGCATGCTTTGAATTGCGCCACCACTATCCCACCCTGCAATGCGTGGACCAACGGTAATAGTATTATTTTTAACCCCTGACGCAAAAAGAGGAGTGTTATAAATTAGACGTGTCTTTGTATGTCCGTCTGTCTGTCTGCAGCATCATAGCTTCCGAACGGATGAAGCGATTTCAATTAAGTTTTTGTATTAAAGGTGACTCATGTGCGAGTGTTATTAGACGTATTTAATGGAAATCGGTTGAGCCGTTTAAAAGTTGTGGGGCCTGAAAGTGGGGAAGAATAACCGAATGTCTGCAAATAGGTATACTTGAGTGGGTCTCAAATGAAAGCGCATTAAAAGATAATTTTGATGACTTAATCGAGAGAGTACTTAAGCTTCGGTTTAGTGATTAATAAGTAAAATGAAAGCGAACAAGCTTAACTTAAAATGTAATCTTTACCTTAAATAAGAATTTATAAATTATTGACAAGAATTTACATTATAATAAGTATGTAAAAAAAAAAAAACAAAAATTAATATAAAATCCAAAAACCTTCGGCACAAATACCTACATTTACTTTAAAAAATAAAAAAATAATAAAAGAAACTCTTAAAGTACCTAAATATGTAGTATTAATTCTAAAAAAATACGTCCCCAACGATACGTATTTTTTAGAATTACTGATATATATTCAAGTACTTTAAGATTGAGTTTCTTTTATTATTTTTTACTTTTTACAGAGAAGTTGGGTCGGGGGTTTTTTATAATTTTTAATTTAATTTTTTAACTAGTTTAAGACTGCTCTAAATACTACCGTTTCATAGGCTTCTCCATATGGACCAGGGTAGAAATAGATAGTAAATGAAAAAAGTCCGTGAGACGACCTACTTTGACTTGATATGACAAAAAAAGTAAACATAGATTAAATCACTATAATAGGGATGATGACTAATTTTTGTTTGTTTGTCCGTCAGGTAGAGTGTTAAAAAATATTAAAAACGTATTTTTTTCGTAATCATAAAATTACGGCGTTACATTGAGTTGAAATTTCGCATGACGTCACGTTAGAGTAGGTACGTTTTCTACTCAACTGTGACGTAGCGAGTCCTCACTCCTCAACTTTAATGCCTGTTATCTAAGCTATTTCTTGTTAAATTGAAGTAAAAAAAGAGTATCTAATATTTTTCTATTATCTGACTGACGGACTAAATAGAAGTGCATTTTTTTACCCAGTCATCATCCCTATTGTGCTACGTTTTAGTATATGTCATGTTGGGAATAGTTTTCATATTTTATACACACAATATTGTGTCTAATAGTGTCTGTGTGTATAGTAAGTTATTTAACTTTGTCAGCTGAGCACACGAAGTTCAAATTCACTCGGAAAGTCAGAGTGCTCGTGAATATATCTAGAGTTTAAAACATTTGAGTTTATTCAGTCAAAATAAATAAACTGATTTTAGCTAGAAATGTTCCTTCTTCTTTAGTCTAGTGGCTTGCATGCTAGCCCTTGCACGATATCGTTATACTTGGTTCGATTCCATTGTGGAGAACTAATTGCTCTAAGATTTTGGACTGTGTTCTCGTCGTACTGGATCTGCATATCACAAAGGTATTAAGGTGTAATCAATAAGCTAATAGCATGTCAGATAAACTTAGATAATTTCTAATCGATCCTTTATATGCTATTGTGTTCAATACAAGATGTTGTTTGATATGTGTACAGCATACAATGATTTAAGAGCCTTTGCATATGACGTATAATTAAACCTTAAACCGCTGATAACGCGCGTTGAACCCTATTAGGACGCCTGGCAAATGCAGAACCGTCTCCGCGTTGTGACCTTTACACACGATGCTCGCGCTTGTATTGCTACAAACGCGCAGACAACGCAATAGATTATTAGTATACTAATGCGCAGATGACTTTTTAGCAGACTTCAAAAAAAGATGTTCCCAGTTTGACCTGTACGTATCTATGTTTGTGCGCGATTATCTCGCGTTTGGCTGACCCGATTTGATGCGATTTACAGCATAGTATTTGTCAAACTTAGGAGAAGGTTTTAGGTATATTAACCGAGTAAAGAGGTTCGCGTCTTAACATGTGTTGTATGGATTGGCCGCAAATATCTCGCGTTTTGTTGAACCGATTTTGACGCAGTTTTCAGAGAAGTATTTTTAGTGTTATCTGGTATATAAAAATATAAATATCACTAAAAAGCATGAAATAAAAACTTCAAACAATAGAACCGACTTGAATAAGTCGCTTTTGAGATTAACTTTTTTTAATTTTGAAGAAGGTTCCAATTTTTTAATGGTAAGAACGATGGCTGTCGTGTGCACACCCCTTTCTCCGCGGCTTCACTTTTTGACGTGCGTTCGACTTACGTTTGTATCGATATAAACGCGCGTATGAAGCGCGTTCGACCTGTGTTTGAATCTATGCAAACGCCTACAATCTGCTAAAACGCGCTGATAACGCGCAAAGGGGGTGCTCATTAAAAACGCGCCTTGTCGGCGTCTAACAAAACCGTCATGTGCAAAGGCTCTTGAAAACTTCTGTCCTAAACTTAACAAGCAGTTAGTAATTTTTATTATGAAGAATGATATCACATAATGCACCTTGCAATACCATTATAATTACCTGTACACTATCAATTAAAAATTGTTAACCAAAGGGATGAAAGCAATATGTATTTTGACAAATACAAAGTACCTATTTTCCTTTTAACGTAATCACCGATTATAAGGATAGTAAAAAATGTTTATCAAACTAAAGTTTGTTAGGGCTTCATTGACAATGTTTAATTTTATTGGAAGAAAACAAAATACTTTTAATGACTCTTACTTAAAAAAAGTAAAAATAATTATTGTTTTTACCTTTTCCCAATTGTAACTGATGTAAAAACATTTTTTTTTTATTAATTTCTGTCGTGGTTGTATTTAAAAACAGTTAACATGTTTAATGTTATTTGGAATTAGTTTATGTCATGTTATCGATTCTAAAAAAAAAAAATATTTGGTCAGTCTAGCTAGAATCACGCGTAAAGATCGCTGGGTCACTTCCCTTCTGTGAAATTCTGTGTCAGAAAAGCTTTGATTCTAAGTGTTTGTTAATTAAAGAGTTAAATCTCTATAAAGCAAATAAACAGACGTTAATGAATAACATACGGAGAGCTAGAAATTTGAACTAACTCATCATAATCAAAGGAGTATTTCGGATCATCCATTCTCACGCTTACTTTGATTAATATCTTACTAACTATTCTAATTTACAGATTAGAATTGCGAAAGTAACTGTGTCACACTTTCAAATTTAAAATTAACAACTTAGACGAAATCTGGTATGACCCTGCCTGGGCAGAATACATTTTGAATATATCTTTAAAATAATACTCTAAGCTCAAAGGACATTTTATATATGTGATTCATATACTTTGGTAATGGTGATTTTTGAAAGCATTGAGAAAAAGGAAGCTACTAGCAAAATCTAGTTTATTTTACTAATTAAATAATAATAGACTGAAGTTATCGAGAGTGTTTTAGTTACTGCTAATTGCAGCTGATTCGATGTTCAAAAATAATACTACTGATATACATTAAAATTTAGATTTTTTGTTAACTCAGAGGAAATGCACCTTAGGTATCAAAACAGGACTCTCCAACCTGGTGAAACCCCCCTCTGTGGGGGAGAAAGATCCTGGATCCAGTAAGGAACCCGCCGATTACAACCCCATAGATTTAAGGTACATCATGATGACAAATAATTTAGTTTTGTTTCTTTTTATTTAGATTTAGAAGAACCGCAAGACGACGTGGGAGCCGAGTAAGTATCCGTTTACACCCATAATCGATAAACCTCAATTAGTTCGTACAAGGAAATAACGTCCAAATCCGATTTCAGAGAAACGGTAGAAGAGTATCCTCAGGTGGCTGAATCAAAACAGAAAATGAGTTGTGCAGGCAAGTGGAGTGAATGGTCTCCATGCGTGCCGTATGATGGATCATGTGGAATGGGTATCCAAACTAGAAGAAAATTGAAGGCTGAAGACCGGGATAACAGACAGTTTTATAGAAAATTTAACGTGAGTATTGAATATAAAAAAAGTAAGAAGAACGGACAGACAGACAGATTTAGAGTCAGACAACGGAATCTTAGTAATAACCGGGTATATATAGTAAGAAACCGGATGTATATATTTTTAACACGAATATTTTGAATAGGTATCTAAAGCTTCGAAAAATTATTTTTTAATCGTAAATTGCAGTTCTTTCATTTATATTATGCTGGGTGACCAAAATTTTATTATCTCAAGTTTCACCGTGCTTCATAGGGAGCGATAAGCCGTTAGTATCGGCTACATGTGCAGTCGCTAATGCCCACGCACGAGCACTGGGCTACCGTAGTCGGTCATGGTTATAGCTGATTCTCCTTCATCTCATAGATCGTAGTGGAACATTAATAGCTTAATAATGATAAAATATGTAAAATACTCCCTCTTATCCATTTTGATGTAGCTCGGTGGCGTAGTGGATAAGCGCCGGTTTCGCAAGAGTCGGTCACGGGATGGGTGACCAAAAAATTATTATCTCGAGCTACTCCGTGCTTCGGAAGGCACTTAAAGCCGTTGGTCCCGGCTGCATTTGCAGTCGTTAATACCCTCCAATCCGCATTGTGCCAGCATGGAGGGTCATGGCCCATCCTCCTTAACCATCTATAAGGAAGGCCTGAGCCCCTGCAGTGAGGATGTAAAAAAGGGCTGATGATGATGATGATTCATTTTGATAAGATCGTTTTTATCAAGAATTGACAGAAAGGTTTTGAATACCACCATCTAGAAATATTTTATACTTTCTAATTGAAATAAGGAACAGTAATGATATGTTACAACCCTATACGTCGATGGCCGATAAATAATATAAAATGTAATAATAATACGAAAGCGACCTAACTTACATATCGCAGACCTAATGCGTTAACCATACTATCGAGCTCCTCAGCTTATCGAGAAATATCAACTAACATTAAATAGGTATTACTCTCAATTTCAAAAGAAAACTCGACGACTAGGTATCAATGTAGATTGACCGTAACTACACAAACCAAGATCATTTTAACCTACATTATCGACTTTGGTACAGGTATAATCTAAGTTTGGTTCCTATACAACTTGATAGTTCTCAAGTTATCTTATTTACAGGATCAAGACAGTCGTCAAGGGAATTCAGTTAGCAATGGTTGCTATGGAAATGACGACACAATTTCTATACAAAATCAAGAGTGCTTCGTCGATTGTTAATCAGTAACTCAATATAATTTTATCTAGTACCTGCTGTGACTAGACAATTAATTACCTATGACTGAAATGTTAGTTTTAAATAAAACTTATTGCTACGTAGTCTGGGTTATTCATTATTCATGACGCTAACTTTAATAATAGATCGGATAATTTACATTCCTGGTTTGCTAAACTAGAAAGTTTCATGTCGGGAACAACTTGTGGAGAAATCCTGTTTCTGGTTTTTGCGCGAAAATAAACTGGTTTTGAAGTTTCGCTGACCCGCCGCACATGACGAGCAGCGCGGCGATCGCATCGCATCAACAGTTTATGTACGAGTTTACTATGAACATAGACACAAACGCGCATGCTCGACTCAACTAGAAACGAATGGTCCGCCCGCCTCGCAACCGCAACTTGTTGATTGTTCGCTCACTTCACGCCAGTCTGCCGCGAACGATGCGCCGGGTGGTCGTGTCTCGCGTCACGCCCGTTAACGCTCCGAACTTCGAAATAATTTTACGAAAATATGTGAAGTTTTCAAAGATAACTCTGTACAGAACTACCGCTTCGGACGTAGCGTATAGTTTTCACTTAACGTAGAACTTTAATAATAAGTAGTTTTAAGTCATTGAAACTTAATAGGCTTACTTCGTTCTACCTGCATGCTTCGTCCCACGAGTCGCAAAGCGGTTACCTTATCGAAGAAACGAACATTAAATGGATGTGCGTTGTGTTCTGTGATAGTGTGCGTGTTTTGTGTGATTATTACAAGACGCTGTGAGTGCGTGGCTGGCCTGTGACAAGTTTCTGTGGCGTGTTTTGAAATTGTTAATATAAGTTGTACCTATCCTGTAAAATGCCGCGCGGGGCCGAGGGCATACTTGCGGCGTTTTTGGTCGGCTGGTTGGCGGTTGCGTCGGCGCAGTACACAAAAGGTAAAAACTACTTCTCTACCTGTGCCCACGCGCACCGTTTGCGCCCTTTGTTCTATCGGCTTTTGTTCGAAGCACGGAACGTTGATTCAGAGATCAGTGTAGTAAACTATGTGGACAATTCACGTGGTAAAATTTACCACACCAAACCAGTCAGTTCAAGCCTAAAATATCAGGTAAACAAGTTATAATTTGGTTTAATACTTTTGATTTTTCAACATTACTATGAATTGACTAAATGCATATTACGTTAAACTGTGGTTAAACTTATGTAGGTCACGACATAAATATTCTACAACTCAACAAAAATGAAAAAAAAAACATACGTCTCGAGAACAAGAAGTAATAACAATTTATTTATTTAATTGAATGATATTTGATGCTCTTCGACCTTATTTATACCTACTTTAAGTTATCTAATATGTGATAACATTATGATCTCTCTTTCTTTACACACAATAAACACGAATTAATTTGGTAGTTTGTGTTGAATCTCGATTTCCATACCTGCAATTCATTTTGTTTGTCTATTTAATTAACATCATTATAAAATAAATGAAGAGGTATTAGACGACATCTTACATCTACATTACTCATATAAGTATAATCCCAATAATGATAATCTGAAACAACGAAGGTACCACGCCACAACTAGGCGCAATTTGAGATAAATGAAAAATACTTTAATTCACTAGCCCTAGGCAACCCGAGTCGAATCCACAAAGTTTCGCTATACATTATACTCTACGTGATAAAAAAATGATCAATATAATTCATATAAGAATACAGAAAATTGATCTGACCGAGAATCAAACTCGGAACTTCAAAGACCATGACGCCTGGAAGCCGTAATCTCAGCAAAAAATATCTTACTAAAATTACTTTCAAGGAAGCACGTTAATACGAATTAGTTGTACATATAAAATTAAAAAAAAAGGCACTCAAATCGGTTCATTAACTCAGGACAGACAGACAGTCAAACTTATAAAACCCCTTTTTTGCGTCGGAGTTTTTGTTTCGTGGATAATCTCATAACTCATATATAGTTGAGCACTGAGATTTTACCAACGAATAGTCAGAAGCTTTCATGTAAATCTAAAATATATATATTTAAGCTGAAATGAAACCTGCCTAAAAATTGGTATTCCATACCAACCTCTTTGGTAAAACTTTTTAGTTTTCAAACATCAAATATTATTTTGTCCGCATGAATCATCATCACTCAGTCTATTACACATTTCCACTGTATCCGTGTTCAAGTATTTGTTTCCTGTTTCCAAGTAATATGATTCGGTAGTAGAATTTTCACAGTACAATTGTTATCATATCAGTGGTGAATGTGATAAGCAGTCACACCTTGCATAGAATAAAGATAACAGCTATGGTATAGGCAACATAGATTATCATTTATTATAATTTAAGGCAGAATTTTACTCTATTCGAACATATTATTTTAACGATTTTGCTAATATTTGCGTAAAATATATTCTAATAGCGTTTGCTCGCGAGCTTGTTACTTCAGAACTAGGCAATAGATTTTATAAAAATAAAAAATATGTCTTTCACCTTCTTCATCATAAACAGCAGTCTACATGTCCCCATTGCTTGGATACAGACCTTCATAATGGATAGAACATGACGTAAAACCAATTTTTGCATCTTTAGATATGATTACTCCTGTGTCTCAATCATCAGTGCAAAATATTCTTAGAAATAATATCAGTGAGCTGCTTGTAACTTCAAAAGAGTTTAGAATTTAATAATGTTACAAATTATATTTTGATTTAACTTGACATTAAGTACTTTTTTGTCAATCTTTATTTTCAATAGCATCTAATTGATTTTTGGATACGTAAACATTAAAGTTTAAAGGTAAAAAAAAATAATAATCCTACGATAATCTAATAATTTTAAGTACCTACGATTATTAAAAAAATATTTATTACAATATTTTTAAAATTATCATAATCATATTTGAGCAAGTATGTATTTACAAAGCTTGATGCTAAGATGGAATTCGAACCTATACCTTTCGCGAGCGACTGCTTTAATCTCGAGTACCTGAGACTGATTTATTTTTAAGCACTTTTCTTTTCATTGAAATAATCATAGTTTTATATTTGCATCTATTTCTTTATCGACGCTGGAAGCAAACGCGTAATATCCCGCAAAACTAAAATCTTTACTCAGAGCAGAATAAGTTTATTTATTGGAAAAATAAAAAGTATCTTCACGCCGGATTTCTAGCGGGATAGGCAGATATTAAATTAAACATGTAGATAGCGATGTTTATTTCACGATTATGAAAAAATTAAGATTGAGAAAAGAAGAACACTATATACCATCTAACATAAAGTAGGCTTACCATCTGTAGTTCATTTTTCACTTAAAATTTACACAACTTTTGGTAACGTGACGACGTATAAAGAAAAAATGTTTTTCAAATTTTTCTAAGAGAAATAGGTGTTTATATAGCATTGTAAATGCGAAACTCACTGAAAGTAATATCATTGTGAGATATTTTTTTATTTTTCCGTATTGTTAGTATAAAATACTCGTCTAGACAAATTCTGTATAAGAAGTTATAATTCTGTTTTAGACGAAGGGACCTTAGTCTAGCCTTCAGTAATATTTATTTTGTTAAAACGTTGATGTGTTCGACTTTATAATGTCCCTATGAAGTTTTTGAGGATCGATCACTTGATCACTCACACACACACACACAAAAGGTCAATCGTTCGCGCTTTCACGGAACACTTTGTTCGTAATTACCTACGACCTATCTATACAGTCAAATCTGAAGAATTTTTTCCCATTTTACGTAAATATTCTATGTTTCAATGTATTTTTTACAGTTTTTAGACCTAAACAAAATATGTAGACTATTTAAAAATTCTCAGTGATGAGGTGATTCGTCGGCGTTCTCGTTCTTGATTCTGGAACTTACGGTATTACATTATCCTGATCCCCGAAATTATTTAAAAGAAATGTGTAAAATGAATTATACACCCGCAAGTAACTGTTTCTTGAAAAATCATACCACTGACATAACTTTCTCGACAAAAGACTAATTTGTCGGGGCAAATTTTCAGTACATAATGAAGTAGTTATAAAGAAGGAATAATCACAGCTAGTAACGTAACTTGATAATGTTAACTACATCAAATTTTAATTCATTATATAAACATACATATAAAGTAACTGTACGATATCTAATCAGTCATCGTTAACTAAGTAAGATTAGATTAGTAAGGATGATCACTGTTGTATGTATGTAGTGCTTACCTATATTATACTGTTACTGTTCTAACATTTACATAAGCCTGTTACAAGTAAATGAAAACAACAGAAAACTAGACCAATTTTTTATCATTTAACATTGCAAAACACAATATTCACTGTCTCTATAAAATTACGTTACCGAAAACTGTTCCGAATCGAGGATATCGAACAGATGCAAGTTAACGTTTTTCTTCGACTTGCAAGGTGTTTGATCATCATTTCGCCATATGCTACGCAAGGTATTACATGTTTACTTAAAAAAGTCTTCCTATCAATATTTTTTAGTGTTATGGGATTCCGAAATATATTAGATTGGGGAAAAGTCTTTTCGCATATAGTATGCATGAACTTGTAATAAAATCTTTCTGGCTATACAATTTGTATCTGGCTGGTTTGGTCATTAACAAATTTAAATTTTAAAGAAGATAACTCCTAATTCAAATAGGAAAACGAGTGATTTTTATTTGTTTTTCTTACTGTCAAAATGAGTGAATCTAATGAAATGAAATTCGATACTTTTAAAAATTTTGTTTAAAAAAAAAAGTAATAATGCAATGCAAGCCGCATAATTTTTTTTGACGTTTATAGACCTAGTGCAGTTTCTGTGAGAGTAGCACAAATTTGGTTTTTAGCGTTTTCAGTCCGGAAATTTTGATGTCAAAGTGCACATCGCTCCGGTCGCCCTGTTACGGATAAAATAGATGCTATTTTTGAAAAAATTTAGCAAGATCGGCATATCAGTAGTAACGACGTAGCTGAACAACTGGGGATTGACCACAAATCAGTTTTGGCACAGTTGCCAAAACCTAAACACATACACAATAAAGTTGGATATATGGGTACCTCATGTGCTCACTGAAAGAAATCTAATGAATTTGTGATTCTTTATTAAGGCGCAATG